ACAACAATACTAATAAGAAAAACTTTAATGGAAAACTTTTGCGCTAACTGAAACGTAAATAAAACACAGTAACTAATCATAACTTTATTGTGTGTCTACAAAATTAACTTTAATAATCTAATTAGAGAGAAAATGTCCACAGTCATACTGACACATGCTTTATTAGGGGGGGAGGGGACATCAGGAAGTTTGTGTGCACAAAATTGCTTGATGTTTACTTTTTATAGCACTCGATCTCGACCCTGACAAGTCGGCCCATCACATATTCTTTATACTCACCGAGACTTTTAAATTTGATCTAATGAAAGAATAGACGATGATCCTTTTTTTCCCTCTGTGTTGAGAGAGAGAGAGAGAGAGAGAGAGAGAGAGAGAGAGAGAGAGAGAGAGAGAGATATACTTCCTTCACCCCGAGGGAAATTTAAAAAAATAAAGAGCAGCAGAGTCGACTGTACGGGTTACTTTTGGTTTTCTTTTTAATTCTTCATGCTGTTAATCAAGGAGAGTGTTAGTACTATGACTTTACAATTATCAGCCTTACCCGGGGTTATAAGTTTTCAATGACTCGCCCCAAGTTTTAGTTTCACTCAAATGTAATGTTAACCTGCAGAAGCATGACCACAGAGTCATTTAAATACTGCCAGAAAACATGAACGCTTGCTGAAAACAGGAACCAGTTTTTCCAATAAAAATAAATAAGACTGGGAAGCCAAACTTTTTTTTTTTTTTTTTTTTTTACTTCAACAGGCAATTTCAAATGAGTGTAGGACTTTAAATGAAATAAATTTATGAATATACTTTTTTTTTTTTTTTTACAGAAACTGAATGCAAACTTCAGTGAAACTACTGAATAAAACAAATTAAAGCATCCTTTCCCCATTTGTGTCCCTGAATGAACCAGAACGATAACAGAAGTACTTCTTTCTGTAGCTTAAATACCCCTTCTCTCCCTTCATGGTCTACCAGCAGCTACCTGGCTGGTCCTTTTCACCGGCACCCTCTCCTTCTGATCCGGAGCACTCAGGAGCCACGCCTGGAGCCGGCTCTCATCCTTAGTCACGCCGAGGTTCTTCCAGGTCCGAGCCCGCAGAGAGGGAGGCCTCCTCGGGTGCACAGCGGCGTCTGCAGCCTCCTGGATGAGCTCGGCTCCGGAGCCTGCAGAGTCCACCGTCTCAGCCTGTCGGTGCCTCCTCGATTTAGACGCCTGCTGGAAGTTAGAGTAGCTCTTCTGCTTGATGGAGGACAGGATGCTGGCTCTGCTCTTGCTGCTGGACTTCCCCCCTCCCTCCTCCTCCTCCTCCTCCTCCTCCTCCTCTTCATCATCCTTGTTTTTGTCACCCTGTGAGAAAGTCTTTTCCTGCCACTTGAAGAACTCCGACATGCATCCTTTCAGTCGTGCGGAGAAGTCTCGATGAGTCATGGTCGCCTGGCTCCTGACCTCCACCGTGCCCTCCTTCAGCTTCTCATACTGGTTCTGGATGTGGGTCAACTCGTCCAGGATGTCCATAGAGAGGAGATCCTGCATGGCGGTCGTCCTCCCGAGAAAGTCTGCACACACCGCTTCCTTTTTTGGTTTCCTCTGCTTCTGGAAGGTGAGGAAATGTGGCATGGCGGTGTAGGAGATGGCTTTGGTTTCAAAAAGTTTTCGATATATGTAAACGACGTCGAAATGCCCAGAGTCCACAGAGTTCTTCAGGAACTTGTGGACCTGAGCCCAGTCCCTCAGAGCCAGTCTGATCTGCACGGGCGGGGCCGTCGGCTGCGTGTGGTAGAAAGCAAACATCAGATACAGACCTCCGACTCGGATCTGGTAGCTGTAAGGAGGCAGGAAGTACTTCATGGCCGTGGCCAGCGTCGTCCTGCAGAACCTCCTCAGCTCACCTTCACCGGACACGCCCAGAAACACATCCGAGAAGCTCATCTCCCTCCAGACAGCCGCAAAGTCCTGATACCTGACCGAGTCGGTCTGCTGGAAACGAGTGAGGAGTTCCTCCACATCTTCAGTCAGAGGAGGGTAGAAGAAGTCCGAGTATAACGGCTCGGCGTGAGGCATCCTGTCGACTCAACAAAAAGAGATCTGATGATGAACTACAACACCTGAAGTCTGAAGGAGCACCGAGCAGGATCACACCACAGGAAGCTCATCATTGGCTTATTACCTTAAAGACACGCTTAAAGACACGCCCACAAGTGGCAGTGTTCAATTAAGGTAATCAACCAATCAGAACACGCTTGCACTGGTCGCTTGAGATTTGATTTGGTTAACTGACAACTGTTTTCTGTTTTGTGAATCAGGTTACTTTGTTTGTTTTTTTGCAGCTATTCTTGTTTTGATATACTGTAGAAATGAAATGTTCAAAGGGTAGGCATAATAAGCCTCGGCTTCATCCTACACCTTTTTTTAAATTTAAATTATTGTTTGTGTTTATGTTTTATGCTTTGTGGTCATGGACCGAAAAAATATTTACTACTACTATTAAAAATGTATTTTGTTTGTATTCGTATAAATGAAGTTAAAACAAGTATCTAAACTCCTCAAAAAAAAGTTAGGAAACATTATTTCAGTCACTTATTTCGCCCCTTTAATAGAACTAATTGGTGTTGTATTTTATATCGTTGGAAAGCCTGATTTGTCACCTTTACATCGAGGTTTAACTTGTAAGGATCGTGCATTCATGGAAAGAGTAACACAGCTAAACATGTGGGTAGCGCCCCAAACACAAATGTGTCAAAAATCCCCTGAAATGTTCTCCTGTTGGTATTCACTGCTGATTCGAGTTTCTTGGTGGAATGGATGATTGAACTCTCCCACAGTAATAAGGAACAAAACAACACATATTGGCCATTTTGACACTTTATTCATTTGCTGTCAATTAGGTGCCGATCAGGTGTCAGTCAAACACCTGTAACTGGAACACACCTGGAGGCACTTGAAGCTCAAATAGAAGATTTCAGGGGATTTTGGCAAAAAAAAATTAGGGTGCTACCCAAACGTTTAGCTGTGTTGCTCATTCCTCAAATGCATGATCCTTACAAGTTATACCTCGTTGTTAAGGTGACTAATCAGGCTTTCCAACGATATAAAACACAACACCAATTAGTTTTTATTAAAGGGGCGAAATATGAGACTGAAATAATGTTTCCAAACTTTTTTTTGAGGAGTTTATTGAACTGTTTCTGTTGGAGGAGTTAGCTATGTGCTAATTTACATCTGTAGTCCCTGTTCAGGAGACAGATGCTGCATTCAGGTGCTGTTGGACACGTTGGAAAAAAGGAGTTTCCGAGTTGTAGAACGCACATGAACACCTGATCAAGTCGGAACAGCAACTTGGAAACTAATGAGGTGCCCGACTTACCGACCTGAAGCCAGAATCATCCTCAACAGTGGGGAAAATGTGTTTTGCCAATGTTTACATAGTCCTACTTTCTACTGCACATAAACAGAACTCGTAACAGTTTGATTCCACAGATCTTCTTGTAGTAGATCTCAACATGATATCAATATGTAGTTGTATCAGAAACAGCTCCAGATGAAAACATGACACAGAAGCCTCATGTTTCTGCTGCTCAGAGTTTTATTAAGACTTTAACAAAACGGGAAACCTCTTTCATCTCTTTGTCTTTTTTCTTTCTTCCTGACACATGCACCTGACAAATTTAAAGAATTAAAAATGATTCAGCTTGAATTCAGACCAACACGGGGAGTTTAAAATAAATACCTCTTAAACGTTGAATGTTTGCAGCTCAATTAAAGTAAAAGGGACAATTTAAGGAAACGTGATGCAAAAAAACGATGTCATGATACTCAGACCCAGGACAGGACAATCCCCCCCCCCAAAGATGAACTCTAAGTAACCCTGCAAAAGCAGTTTAAAGGAGTTCTAGTATCAGAAATACTAAACAACAAACAGTACAGAGAGAAAACTGTTATCCCTCATCCCGACCTCATATGAAGAAATATCTACTTTCTTTTTCTAAAGTTTGTTTAGTTTCATTTTACTGAGACTTCAAAACATCACCAGTTAAAACAGAAACATCTTTGAACCACCTTATGCAGAGCGACACAAAGTTCATTAAAGTGGAACTCTTCCTCCTCTGTCCTTTAATTAAAAACATTACCAATAAATGAGAAAGAGGAAGAAAAGGGGAGATTTTGGTTTCACATCATTTTAAACAAACGGCCAAAAGTAAAAACATTCAAATGAAAACTTGAAAAAAGAGAAAAGCTTATGATTTGCTTGTTTGTCTCATCCACAGACAGTGGATCCCTCGGCCCCTCTCCCCTCCGACTACCAGCCTCCTTTCCCTCCCTTCTTCTTCTTCTGTGGTGCCTTCTTGCGCGTAGCCCCCGAGGCTGCAGGTTTCTGCTGTCTTGGGGGGACCACGTTGCTGGCCGGTGCTGTAGTGGAGCCGGATGCTGACCCCGGTCTTGGGGAGGTAGGAGGACTGCTGGCTGTCTTACTCGCATCCCTGAAAACAGAGGAGACAAAAATCACATCAGGGAATAAGGTGTACGTTTCAGGGAAAATGTTTTTGCATCAAAAGCATCGGCACTAAGAGGTGGAGTCCAGCCATGATGCTGCTAATGCAATAAAAAATAAATAAAATAAAACTTTATCTTAACCTTACCTAGGGCAGGGTGTCTGTTTGGGTGTTTTTCTGCTTTTTTTTTTTATTTTTCTTTGTAGTTGTTTTAAAAAAAAAAATATATATATTTTTTTAACCCTATTTCTTTTTTCTGTACTGTGCCAAAAAATTAAAAATAAAAAGCATCGGCAAAAGTCTTGTGCATGCAGTGTTATTCAACATGCCGTTCCCAGAAAACATCTGATCGGGAACGTTCAGCACAGATGTTAAAGAGATGAATTCATGAGAAATCACTAACAAAAAGTTACAAATCTTTTTTTTACATCTTGGTGATACATTTGTAAAACACTACTCTGCACCTTGCAGGACATGCACTGGCTGGGATCAAAACTGCTCCCATTGAGCTTTTTATGTGTAATCACTTTTAGAATGTGAATAAAAGTTTATGAATATGGACATGTTAAAAAGTCAATATTTAGTTTTGTATCACTAAAAGTAGCACACAGCTGGCTCTCTGCTTTCCTTCCCCTCGTGTAGAGGCATTCATGATAGTGCTAACACATGTTTATGTTTATATAAACAAACAAGCAGCTTCTTCCATACAGCAGAAAAAACATCTGCACCCAGGAGTCATTGGCAGGAAAACAGAGGGACAACTCCACTCAGTCGATGTGCATTACTCACAGCTCGGCTGACGCTCCGGCTGTCGCTCCCTGTGTGCCTTTCCCGATCTGCTCCTTCTTCTTTCCCTTCTTCTTGCCTCTGTAGTATGAACGCTCCCTCATGGGCAGCCACCTCTCCGGGTCAGGAGTCGCTTTGGGGTCGCAGTTTTTGGGCAGTTTGCCTAAACAGAAGACGATCAGGAGGAAACAGTGAAGAGCGTGTCAGAAAATAAATCTGATTTGTAGCCTATAACTAGATCACACTGAAAGTTTGAAGATGTCAGTTACGTGTCTCTTATCACAGGAAATAAGCTTCATCATATCTGTGTAATTCCTACTGCTGGCCTGTAGGGGTCCACAGTTTTCACTACATCGCTCTGCTCCTATAGGTCGTCCACAGAGGTTATTAAACCATTTTAACAGAAGATTTGTTCAGTCTTTATTTCTTATTTGAATCCTGATGACAGCAGATAACAGACACTTAAAAAACTCACAAACCTTATTTAATAAAAATAATAAAAAACATACCTTTCTTTTTCTTCTTCTTCTTTTTGATCTCCACTTGGCTGCAGAGAAAACAAAAAAGAATTATGAATTAAATAGTTTAGAGAGTAGCTTAGGGTCGTCACAATAACAGATTTTTAAGCTTTGATATAATTCTAGTAAAAAAAAAATATATATCAACAACTGTTTTGTTACCACGGCAACAAAATTCAAGACCTAATCGCTAAATATTGGGTCATTTCTTGACCAAAGATGAAGACAAACTCCTGCACAAGGTCTTAATTACACAAATATGGAAATGTTGCTAACATATTTCTGCAATTTAATAAGTTCTCATTCCATCACAGCAGCTTTCTATACTTTTTTAATGTAACGATGGATCATTAAAATAAAATACATTTTTTATCATTTTACAACACGTGGTGTCAAAGTATCATTAAGCATGACTCCTCCCACCGTCCTTACTCAGTTTAACTGGAAACATGTTTGATGAGGCAGAGAGTGTGGTGAAAGTTTACCCGGCTTCTTTGGGGAGATTTTCTCCGGTGACCTTGGGCGCCTTTTTCCTGACGTAGGTCGCCCCGTGCGAGTTCTCCAGCTCGTCCACGTCCACGTTCAACGCCATCGTGTCTGCAGAGGGAAGGTGCTTGCTGAGGCTGGAGAGGAATGCTGAGGACAACAGGATGTGCAGTGGTGTTTGCAGCTTTCAGGGTCTCCCTCCAGTTATGCCTGCTCTGGGATTTGATCTCTTATTCTTTAGGTTTTTTATTCTGTGGCTGCAACTATTATTAAATTACTTTTAAGGCAATTCTTCTAACAGTAAAGCTTTACCTGTAAAAGGTTTAAAATACGGGGTGATGCTACTTAACGTTTTCAAAAAGAACAATGAGGTGTCTTCACATTCTTTGGTCGTTTCTGTGAACATTACAGAGCTGCTCTTACATTACAGAAAATATATTTCACAGGTCTACTCTGAGAATTGAGACTGTTTGTGCAGCCTCACAATCAAATCAAGAAAACACACCAGTTGCCTAACGAATTAAGTATTAATTATTTCATTTTGTTTGATTCAAGGATACGATTTGGCTTTTTCCGTGTCCACCAGAGAATACGCAGAGATGAGTTGTGCGAGTGTGTGAATGTCGTTGGTGTTTCGCCTGTTTCAAGAAAAAGAAAGAAAATTAAGCATTAGTGTTGTAAAATTACTTTAACAGACTAACAGCATTGTTTTAAGGTTGCACACATACTCCTAGTTTTACTTTATTGATCTCTGAATGAAAATGTGTTCTGACTTTAAAACTCATCATTGTTTCTGTTGAACCTGATGAACATCTGAGCTACTTGATTTGAGGCCAGCTGAACTAAAAGCAGCATTAAAGATTAGTGTTTTTTCTTCGTCATATAAATAGTCAACCCATGTTGAACTCCTGAGGGTGAAAATAAGACCTGAAACTCACTTCCACAGCTGCTCCAGATCACTAATGGCTTCCTTCTTCCGTCCGTACTTCAGTTTGAAATTGGCAGCTTCTCGCACGAGGGCCAAGTGTGCAGCAGATCCCGTCTGCAGATGAAGAAGGACGGGACAGATCACACACATGTTTTTAATGCCAGTTTGTCTCTTCTAAGGTTGTCAACATTTTAGAGACCTTTTGATACCATGTGGTTTAAAACAACATAATCTCCTTTATTTGAATGATTGGTATTATTCAAAAAGGAAGCTGCAAAAGACTTTAGGACTTCAAATATATATATATATTTTTTTAAGAAAGACTTCAGATCTAAGGTCACATTTTTAACCCAAAGGGTTAGGGTTACCCTCTCCTGTTTTGTTACTGAACATGTGCATACAGTGAGTATTTGTAGACAGATGGGGTTGGCAAGGCATTCTTCAAAAGAATCCATCTTTAATGTCACATGAGTTTTTATAGATCTGTGTCTGCCAATATCACTTTTTTCACTGCTAAAATAATGAAAAACTTAAAGGGATACTTCACCTGTTGAAACATGACTCTGTGTTGACATTGGGTCATATATGTAGAAATGTGAAATACATTTTGAAGTTGGTGCCTTCTTGGCCGAGAAAAGGCAGAAAGTGTCTTTTTGGCTCATGTGGATGAAAGACACCAAATCCCAGAATGCACCAAGTTTTTAATAATGCAAAGCTTAATGCAAATGAGTGAAGTATCCCTTTAAATACACCACCCATTATCAACACTTTAGAATAGTTGTGGTCACAGGAAGAAATGAATCATGGGAAACAAACCTGCTCAGACTGGTAATGCTCGATAGCTTGTTTGAAAACGTCAATGGCGCTGTCGATGTCTTCTTCATGGGAGTACATGGTTACCAGAGCTGAAATCTGCAGATACAATTACACATGTCGATAACCAGTGTGAGGGGAATAAATAAATCTAGAGATTGTGTCAGTGTGGTGATATTTAAATTCAGACTTACCATCCCCGATTTGTGCTTGAACTCTTCGATGGACCGTAGAACATCACAAGCTTTCGTCACATGACCTGAGAACCACAAGAAGAAATACTTTTTATCTTTTAAATTTGACTTGACACAACTGCAGGCGTTGTGACAATGAAAGAGCTCGTCCTATCGACTGGATTATCACACTCAAACAGCTGATCACTGCCCGTACCTTGTACTAAGTAGAGTTGTGCCATCGTCAGTTTGATGCCTGATGCACTCTCTGGATGTCGCTCTGAGAATTGCTGGAAGACAAAAGGACAGTCGGTTCACTAAGAGAGACAACTCCAGACACTAAGACAATAAAAATGAGTCCCAACATGGAGACTAAAAACATCCAGTTTGACATAAAAAAAAAAACATTACATTTTTAACCCTCATGTATCATGATGGACATCTTTGTCCATTTGGTCATCATTTTGTCTGTGTCAGTTTGTAAGAAAGTCTCTCTCTATTGATTTAATAGATCAATAGATCACTGAAACATGTTTACTACCCTCTTAAGTCACTAAGGACAAAAATGTCCACTTACAAAAAACTGCTATAAAAATAGAACAGATTGATATTTTTTGGCATAAATCTCTTAAACAACTCCAGCCCTGCTCAAAACTACCAAATCTTGAGTAATTATCAGGAATTTAACCCTTTAAATGCCAGAATCGGGTAATCAAACTGGTATTTAAAGGGTTAAATTACTCAATATTTGATATTTTTGAGCAGGGCTGGAGTTCTTTAAGAGATTTATGCAACAAAAAAAAAGTAGAAAAAGATATCAATCTGTTCTATTTTTATATCAGTTTTTGTAAATTGGACATTTCCGCCCTCCACTGTCCAAACAGGGAACTACATTTTAAAACTGATGCTACACAAAAACTAACAATGCACCAAAGTCAATATTTTGGATAATCTTTGACATATCCGAGACTGATTAAAAAAACACAAATCCCCCAGCTACCAAATATTTGTAATATGGAAAATAACTCATTTTTGTGTTTTTTTCATAAAAAATAACAGTGACATCAAGTAATCAAACTGGCATTTAAAGGGTTAAATTCCTAAAAATGATTGAATGTTTGGTAGTTTTGAGCAGGGCTGAAGTTGTTTAAGAGATTTATGCAAAAAAAGGTAGAAAAAAAATATCAATCTGTTCTATTTTATAGCAGTTTTTTGGAAGTGGACACTTTTGTCCTTAGTGACTTAAGAGGGTTGTAAATTAAAGTGATACCTGAGGGTTAAGTAATCAATAAATGACTACTGCAGACATATGTAAAGCATGTTTGTGCCTGGAACTGTTTAACCATTTGCTGTTAAAATTGTTTTGTTACACTGGATAGCCCAGATTTGAATAACGCATCAGTAAAATAATTCCTGTTGCAATTCTCATTTTCACAACGGTTCAGATTTGAAAGCTGTGAGTCGGGCTGTTGTTCATGTGTACCTGTAGCAGCTCTATAGCCCTGCCATGCTGCTTCTCTCTGCACAGCTGAGCGACCTGGATGAGGACCGGCCGAGGCTGACCCGGGTTCTGAGACTGAAGACTGGAGGACAGTTTCCTGCACTGGTCGGCCTGTAAAGGGTAAAACAGAAATTCATTAACCAACAGCCCTGAATGGAAACCTCTGAATCTGAATCACACCAGCTCCTCAGCTGTACCTGGTTAGTGTACATGGCCAGCAGGGCTTTGTTGAGGTCGATGGCCTGCAGCTGTTTCTTAGCCAGCTTATATTCGACACCCTCAGCGTTTGTCAGCTTTACCTTCTTCTTTGAGTCGAACACGTTTTGGTCCTTTGGGAATAAAAACAAAACATTTACAACAAGTGAGCGCATGTTTACAAGTACAGTACAGCTTTCTCTCTCCCCCCTCTCTCCCTCTCTCTCTCCATCACTCACTTTGTTTATAGTTATGATGTTGTTGGCGGTCACAGCGAGCAGCCCGACATCTGAAGGCCTGTTGGAACATCATGGAACATGTTTTAGATATTTGTTGAACAGCTGAGACAAGAACAACTTTAGTTCTTTAACTCACTTGAGTTTGATGACCTGGTTGTAGAGCTGTAGCGCCTCGTCTGTGCGACCTTGTAACTGCATGACGTACGCCATCTGAGAGTGGATGACAGCCAGCTCGGACTCGATGTCCTCCTCAGTCACATCCTGAAAGGGACGATGCAAGAATGTCTTGTATTTAGTCCTGTTATTTGCATTTTTATAATTTTGCCCTCTCTGTTGATCTCTGTTCTGTTGTCGTGTTGCTCTTTGTAAACATGTGCTATATAAATAAAGCTATTATTATTATTATTATTTTTGGTCTTTTTCAAAGCTTGATAAACTCAAAAAAACTTGTTCATCTTTTTCCTTTATGTATTACAGTTTCCCATGGAGGGAATAAACCAGATTCCATTAAACAGAAAAGGACAGGACTTAAAGACTGATGCTTAAGAAGTTTTAAAAGAAAGCAACACTCACCGAATCATCCGCCAGAGAAACTCTGCAAAGCTCTGTGAAGGAAAACAATCTGTTGAAGTCACTTTGTGAACAGAACAAAAATAAAAGCTTCACACAGAAAGTAGGAGACAGCGTCAGGACTGACCCTCAGCTTGTTGTAGTTTATTCATGGCCTCTGTCAGCTGTCCTTGGCCAATCAGAGCGCAGGCAGCGTTGTAGCACAGCTCATATGTGGACTCTGGAAGACCCAGATCTTCCTGCAGGAGGAAAAGTTACATCTCGTCTTAGAAATTATAAAATAAAATAAAATGCACTTATATCAACAGTAAGAAATAAAAACACAAGAAAATACATCTGGATGATAAAAGAAGGCAAAAATATTATAAAAAAAAGTCAGAAAATATTACAAGTTTGTAACTTTGTAAAGCTGGCAGTGTTTTCTAGTCTGACTCTCAGCTCTTTAGATTTTAAACAAGTTACAAACACATGAAGACATGGCTGAATATGAGCATCACACTTTCATTGTACAGTGTTCCCCTTTGTATTATATCTTTGTGTAGTGGCTATTTGTCCAAAAACTAAAAAAATCAAAATAAACTAATATCATACATAATCAAATGACCACTGATGCACCATGGGAATGTGATGCAATCCAATGTCCATGCAAGAGATCTGCAGTTTTTTGGTGGTTTATTTGGTTCAAAAGAACAAAGAACATTGTTGTTCCTGCTGCCTCTCATAGGCCGACCCAGGTGCATGCTGGTCCTCTACCTGCCTCTTACTTAAATAACCTCTGGTGCCCACAGTGTTACCCAAATACCTAATAAAAATACTAATGCAAAACTAAATTTACTGAACAAATAATTAGCAAAAGAAAATATTACCCAAAATCTATTCTAAATAAAGAAAACGTGTAGAATAATTAAATAAACAACACAACACAAATATTAGTAAACTAAACAAACAAAACTAATTCTAAAAACAATTAAATAGCTCCAGCACTTTGCTTTAATACAGTGTATAGCTTTAGTACAGTTTATTTTAATTTACTTAGCTGTTATTACAACTGATTTTTTTTTTTTATAATTTTTTTAATTTTATTTGTACTTTTCTACTCTTTTTTTCTTATAATGCTATTCTTTTGTAAATTTCCCCGTTGTGGGATAAATAAAGGATTATCTTATCTATTTTATATATCATTTTAACTTTTTTGTAGAAGCTGACTCAGGGAGAAACGCACAAAAAATTCCAATGTACCTGTACTGTACCTGTGCAAATGGCAATAAACATCTATTCTATACCATAACTTTGTTTTTATAGTCACTATTAATTGTTTCTGAATTAAGTTTTGTTTAAATTAATGCTTTGTGAATAAGATATAAGATTATATAAGATTAGTCTTATTTCTGCTCCTTTTCATTCAAAATTTGAGAATTTATATTTGTTTGTTTTTCTTAACTTTAGTGTTTGTTTGAATGAAATAACATTTACAAATACAATTTAAAAGATTTATAAGATTAAAAAAAAAAAAATTCCATTCAGGGAACCTTTTAGAGATCTTTCTTAATGAACAGTTATGTTAACGTTTTATACCATACACTGGTGGATGGACTCAAGATGGACACAGAAGGCATATAAACAAAGTAAGGTACACAACAGTGACAAAGGGAAACAACATTTCAGTTTTATGTAGAGGGTCTTACCAGCGGAGCTTTCTCCCACTGACTCATCGAGGCCACCACAGCAGCGAGGTTGGTCTTCCTCTCCTCCTCGTACTCGTCCTGAGAGTTCCTGATCAAATCTGTGTAGACTGACTTGCATTCGTCG